GGGCCCCTACTGACCCTGGGCCCTCGGGCAATGCCTGAGTTTCCAAATGGTCAGTCTGCCCCTGAGCTGAACTATATGCTAGGATTTCACTGGATTGCTGTAAATGAAAATAACACTTGAACACATAGTGTTATAGTAGTGCACTTGATGTGCGACCACCTTTTCTCCAGTATTCATTTCCCAAAGCACCTTCACAGATTTCACCTTTAAAGTGTAGTTAAATGTAACATATTATAACCCCTAGACACAGTGGCTGTATTTTTTTTTTTGCATTTTTAAGTTTTCAGGCTTTTTTTTTTATACTGATCTAGGGCAGCAGCCCACAGAAAAGAAAACATAGGAAGTTATTAGCTCAAGCTTTTAGGCAGGATCAACAGGAATTGCATGAGGATACACCTCCTACTCTCCTTATCTACATGACAAAGGAGGAGAAATTCTGAGAACCAGAAAATGGAGAAATCTGATAACCCTGCTAACTAATAACAGTGTAAACAGACAAAGTGTACAGAAAGTTTCAAAGAAACTGGATTTCTGTCAAGATCAACAGGTCTTTTGAGTATATTGCAGATATAACAAAATGTTTTCACTTGAATATACTGTATAACATTGAATATATAACAAAGTAGCAAAATGAGCTCCTTGTTAGGGTATATATACATTTACATTTAAAAATTTAAGACAAGAAACTTATAAACATGCATATTGGTGTGGTGAGGTACCATTGGCATAAATTATATATCAAAGTACTGTGGACATCGGCATTATTATTCAGAATTGTTAATACGTTATTGCTGGCAATACAAATCACTGTAAAAAGTAGAATGCATTACTCAGTCTAGACACGCTATGTGCCAGCTATATCTCAAAGCTAAACTGCATGCATAAAATGTTTATCTTGCAATAAATTTTGGCTTCAATGCTAGCATGGGGGTCACCACTGCCAACAGCATGCCTAAATAAAAAAGTTTAGTAGAAAAAAAAAGCAGAAACTTATTATTTTATATAAATAAGTGCATAACATAACTACATTTTAGCTAGTTTTAAAATACTAAAATCCAAGTTGCACCATTCAGTTTGATTCAAGAACAGCCTTTCTCAAACTTTTTACCCCAGAGAAACCCTTGTAATAATTTTAAGTTCTTGGGGAACCCTTGCTTAATGATTACCCCTGCATCTCATGGTTAATTAGTGTGGTCAATAAGTTGTAAAAGTCCTCTGACATTGGGGTTTATTTACTAAAGCTAGTTCACTCAGAATCTCAGAATTGCTTACTTGCCTTAATGGTTAGGCTCACCACTCAAGAAACTCTTAGCAACCTCAGAAAAAATCTTAGTTGAGATAGATTGTTCTAGAAGATACTGTAGATTTCAGGTATTTACAGTCTTATTTGCAAATATATGAATTTGGGGAAAATACAAAAAAAATTCAGTGTATACTAGATCTCTCTTTTTCAAGAAGCAAGACTCTGAATGGGTCATTTAAAACTGCAGCCATGCTAAACACTAGGAATGAGCTTAAGGTCCAAGAGCATGTTTGGACCAAACCTTGGCTGTCTGCACTTTTAGAATGAATTCCCAAACATTTACCTATTCTGCAGAAGCCAAACATCACATATAACAGTGATATCACTACCACATGCTTTTCTTTATCCCCTGAAGACATCTGTTACAACAGATGAAATGCACAGAGGGTGAGGCCAGTGGCATATGATGTTGTACATCCGCTGTTTCTCCCTGGTGTGGTGTGTTTTGTCTGTGTTACTCTGTAACATTTGTGAGTATATTTGCTCTTAATAAATCATGTGGTTTTAGCATACTACGCTAAATTTTTGCTCTGTTGATCTCTTATCATGTGGAGATCATTACTGTTCGGTAAGGGAACTGGCACACTTGTCTGTGATGTGGTTTGGGTTTTTCATATGTGGACTTTTTTTCAGTTTTAGAAATTTCACCTTTGGACTTTCATGTATTTTGCTATATTTACTTCTTTGTTATGCACAAATGAAGAATATGTTATGTGATGCACATTGTTCATTCTAGTTTAATATGAGTTAATTTTATTTTTTCACACACACACACAATTTTGTTCTGACCACTACAGAGATATTGGTTTTGCACACATTTTAGATTTATTATTAGACATGAAAGCTTCCCGCTATCAATGGTTGCTATAGACATTGGTGAATGCAGGCACTGCTGATTTCCTAACAACCGGCAATGTAGCCAGCCCTATTCACTTACATGCACGGGAATTACATGGAGCAAGGTGGTTGTGATATTACTGACTAATAATGGCCATGCCCATAGACCAAATATAGCCATGTCCATAGTTGGTCAATAATGTAACCACATCCCTGCCCCCTTATATATATACCTAGCAACAGATCTAGAGAAATATCATTTGTGGTGGGAGTGTGGTGCAAATTGACAAGCCAGCTTATCAATTGGTTATTTTGATGACTGGTTGGCATTGTGATGCTAGATGCTAGATTTACAATGCTGGATTTTTTTTAAATAACTTGTGTATTTATTTAAAACTGAATTATTTGTGAAAGAGTAGGGTTACTACCTCTTACTCATTTCTGTAAGGGGGGGGGGGGCATATATCTGGAGGCCCCATCATCTTAAGGGGGCTTCCACATTTTGTTAAGTCCTGTCTCCCACAAACACCAGGCCAGTGTCAACTGCTCTGTCTGAATTAGAAATAGAAACTAAAATAAGGATTCTACCAATCTGCAGAAATAATACAGTTATGTCAATATGAAAAAAGAAACAAAAACAAAATGAACAGTGTGAACAGCAAAGATAAGATCAGTAGCCTATAGTAAAAATTTTCTCCTCCCTGTAATCAGATCAGTGGAAAAGGTTTAGGTGGAATTTTGGATGATGATTATTTGACTTATTGATTGACTGAGCCATGTTGTACATGGGTCCTAAAAAAAAAAAAAAAAAAAAAAAAAATCAAAGTGCAAATGATGTCATGGGGGGTATTTCTTGCTAGGCCCTATATGTGGTGGGTGCATTTGTTTTTAATTTTTTTGGGCTAGCAACATATTGGTACAGAAAATACCTGTTGATTCTGCCAGAAATGAAGTGTCCTCATAACTTCCAGGTCGCCAGACTGAAAGCACAAACAACCTTATATTCCTTCCAAACTATCTTCTGTAAACTAATAATTCCCCACCCTCACATGTAATGGAAATGAAGAGAGGAAGATGTGTCTGCAGTCAAAATCAAGAAAGTAGTGTAGTGACAGCCATGGCTCTTTCCATAATTACCCTGAAGTTAGTGAACATAGCCACCCTATGACAAGAAGCATGTTTCTTGCAGGCTAACTAGGTACAAATATAGGGTAACATAGGGAAACAAATAATATAACGGATGGCAAGCTGCAAAATATTACATTTTTACCAACAGTAAAAAAGAAGTCAGCCAATGTGAAAGCTTGTGGACATATAGCTTAGGTTCACACTAGCTAATGCTTTATAAATTGATCCACTCTCATGCATTTGGGGGATGATCCCGCCTCCCGAATGCCTGTTTTTTTTTTGTCTTGTTTTGCTTTGTTTCTTGTTCCTTTATTTTGGAAATAATGCATTGCACTCATGAGCCAAGCACTTGGTTTGTAGTTTGTGATGCAGCTCTACTAACTCAAATGGCAAAGTTTGACAGGCAGTGCCGCCTGTGAACTCAGCATGTCATATTAAATTTGTAGTGGATATAGGGCAAAGAATGGCCCTCTTTGGCTGTTGCTTTGCTTTTAGGTAGGCACCCATGGTGCAGTAAAACCATGACTTCTGCTTCTACAACCATTTCAAGCCAAAGAGGCCTAACTCCTTTAAATAATTGCAGAGTTGAACTAAAATCAGATCTATCTTTTTTTGCATGTGAAGTTCATGCTACGTAATGCGTAATACTTATTTTCTCTCAAATATTTCACAGTATTTTCCATGACAATGCTTTCATCTGATTTTTAAGCAGTCTTTTTATGCATTATTTGGGGTCAACATTTACTTCCTGGTCTTCCTGGACTAGGATACCGACCCACTGATAACAAAATAACTGAAATTCTAGTATGTGTCCAAAAGCCTTAATGTTATTGAATGTACAAATTTTTAATTTTTTTTAAATTAACAAAAATTAATCTATAGAATTAAGTAAATGAATAATCTAAGCTTAACATTACTTTTTGAGTATAGTTTTTGTTTGATTTAAAATCAACTTAAAATTTGCCGGACAGAACTGTTATGTATGTTTACATTTACTCAACTAATCAAAGAAGATCAGTAATAAAAATGACTTTTTAAGGATACATTTATTATTAAACAAAGAGGTATTCTGGTCAACACGTATCTAGTTTTGGGTATGGTGGGATAGCATTTTATACCCTACTAAGTATTTACTAATGTCTGTGACCCAAGCGGAAAGATCCACCCTTGCACTTAGTGCTGCCATGACATCAATGGTTTTAACCTCCCTGGCGGTATGATTATTTCAGATTTTTGGTGCTGAAAGCGGTACCATTATTTTGCATGGAAATTTGGCATTTTATATTGTAGGCCTGTAATTCTTAGGAATAACTCACTGAAATCTGTCCGAACAAGAGTCTAGTAAACATCCCAGGTAGGATAAAACTTTAAACACGAAATCATAAATTATAATTTAATAAATAATCATAAAAAATAATAATATAATAATAATAAATGTAATTCAATAATATAATCAAACCAAAAACACTGAAATTTGAAATATAGCGCCAAGTTCGCACATTACTGAGCAAAGTCGCAAAATCGTTTTCAGTGTCTGATGACGAATTTCCCCACAAATCATTATCACTCAATTCTGCAAGTGGTTCTAATTTACTATCGCTGTTCTCTAGCTGGTCTAAAACCGCTTTTGAATTAAAGGGGCGCTTTTTGGATGCCATGGACGTTTCTCAGTTTCCAGGCAATAAGAACAGTAAAATGGAGGCAGGGCACAGGACAAAGCACTAGGGACAAAATGTATGTGAAATGGTTTGATACAGTAATGTTTTACTATGTGATTTTAGTGATTTTAGTGAATGTCACTTTTTGTCATTTTCAAATTTCCCGCCGTTCCGTCCCCCGTACGTCCTGACGCTCGCAGGGGACGGAACCCAGATGACAGATGCCAAATTACATTGCTGGGGACACTGCAGGAGGGAAATCGCGGGAGCGCAGGACAAGGTAAGAGATTGAGGGATCACGGAGCAGCGCCGCATAGTAAGCAAGAGTGTAGCTCGGGGTTACCGCTTGTGGTACTGAAACTTTACCCCGAGCTACACTCGGGAATACCGCCAGGGAGGTTAAGGTGTATGTAAACTTTTTTTGTTATCACCCCTGTCATGTTTCAATGACCTCTTCTAGCCCACTGTGGATATTAACCCTCACTATTTGTCCTGGTGACCATTGTCTCTGATACAGAAAACAATTGAAAATTTAAAAAATTTGAACAAGAGGTGACTATGTAGGGAAATATATCAATGAAGATATCTGTTTGTGAGAAAACTGTCTACAGAGGGACATTCCTCCTATTTGCCTTCTCCAAAGTGCATGCTTCCTTTATTCTTATTTAAAAAAAAATATATATATATATATTTATATATATATACAGTGGGGATCGAACGTTTGGGCACCCCAGCTAAAAATTTGTATTAATGTGCATAAAGAAGCCAAGGAAAGATGGACAAAATCTCCAAAAGGCATCAAATTACAGATTAGACATTCTTATAATATGTCAACAAAAGTTAATTTTATTTCCATCATTTACACTTTCAAAATAACAGAAAACAAAAAAATGGCATCTGCAAAAGTTTGGGCACCCTGCAGAATTTATAGCATGCACTGCCCCCTTTGCCAAGCTGAGACCTGCCAGTGTCATGGATTGTTCTCAGTCATCGTCTGAGAAGACCAGGTGATGTCAATCTCAAAGGTTTTAAATGCCCAGACTCATCTGACCTTGCCCCAACAATCAGCACCATGGGTTCTTCTAAGCAGTTGTCTAGAAAACTGAAACTGAAAATAGTTGACGCTCACAAAGCTGGAGAAGGCTTATGAAGATAGCAAAGCGTTTTCAGATGTCAATATCCTCTGTTCGGAATGTAATTAAGAAATGGCAGTCATCAGGAACAGTAGAAGTTAAAGCAAGATCTAGAAGATCAAGAAAAATATCAGACAGAACAGCTCGCAGGATTGTGAGAAAAACAATTCAAAACCCACGTTTGACTGCACGATCCCTCCAGAAAGATCTGGCAGACACTGGAGTTGTGGTACACTATTCCACTATAAAGAGATACTTGTACAAATATGGTCTTCATGGAAGAGTCATCAGAAGAAAACCTCTTCTACGTCCTCACCACAAAAATCATCGTTTGAACTTTGCAAATGAACATATAGACAAGCCTGATGCATTTTGGAAACAAGTTCTGTGGACCGATGAGGTTAAAATTGAACTTTTTGAAAAGAACCTCTGTCCAACTGTTAAGCATGGGGTTGGATCAATCATGCTTTGGGGTTGTGTTGCAGCCAGTGGCACAGGGAACATCTCATGAGTAGAAGGAAAAATGGATTCAATAAAATTTCAGCAAATTTTGGATGGGAACTTGATGCCATCTGTGAAAAAGCTGACGTTAAAGAGAGGATGGCTTCTACAAATGGATAATGATCCTAAACACACCTCGAAATCCATGGGGGATTACATCAAGAGGCATAAACTGATGGTTTTGCCATGGCCTTCACAATCTCCTGACCTCAACATAATTGAAAATCTATGGATAGACCTTAAAAGAGCAGTGCGTGACAGACAGCCTAGAAATCTCAATGAACTGGAAGACTTTTGTAAGGAAGAATGGGCAAAGATACCTCAAACAAGAATTGAAAGACTCGTGGCTGGCTACAAAAAGCGTTTAGAAGCTGTGATACTTGCCAAAGGGGGCAGTACAAGATATCAACTCTGCAGGGTGCCCAAACTTTTGCAGACGCCATTTTTTTGTTTTCTTTAATTTTGAAAGTGTAAATGATGGAAATAAAATCTAACTTTTGTTGACATATTATAAAAATGTCTAATCTGTAATTTGATGCCTTTTGGAGATTTTTCCATCTTTCCTTGGCTTCTTTATGCACATTAATACAAATTTTTAGCTGGGGTGCCCAAACTTTCGATCCCCACTGTATATATATATATATACTGTGTATATATATATATATATATATATATATATATATATATATATATATATAAAAAAGAATGAATTTAACACAGATGTGTTCAGGTGAATAGGAAATCACCCATCTGGAGTCATGATCAATATTAAATTCAATAGCATGAACCTGGCTGCTTTCTATCAGAAACTTAACACCTTCACGCCTAAGGGTAAAACACATCTAAATGCCTAAGCACAATTCTGCAATGTTGACATGTGTTAGTAAAACCATACATATCATCACAATTATTTTTGTACGTCCAGGTAGATTATACCTTGATTTTTTCAAGAGAAATTGGGCTTTCACTTGGTGGTAAATGGTAATGGATAGCTCCTGATTTTTTTTATTATCAAAGGAAAACTGGCCTAAAATAGTAAAAAAAAAAATCTTTTTTTTTATTTAGCTGTGTGTTTCTTGTTACTACCATAACCTACCACCAAAGAACAACCCAAAATAAATTCTCCAGCTCTTGATGATCACAGTGATACCACATATGTGTATGTTATTTGTTGTTTGTACCGGTAGTACAGCCCAGAAACAATAGTGTGCAGTTTGTTTTTGTCCTTTTGTTTTTTTTTTTACCTAAAACACACTAACTGACACTGATACCAATTTTTTTAAAATCCTCACCTTTGACCAAAACGCTAACCTTGGCACTGAACTAGATCAAACCTTGATCTAGATATTTCTCTTTATTTTTTTATTTTCTTTTTTCAAATTTATCTATCTGCTTTTATTTTTTACAAACTTTTTTTTCTCTCTATGCCAGGGGTTAGAGAGATACAATGTACGCCGAGCGGCACGCTCACAGCACAAAGACAAGTACGCAAATATGTGGCCCCACGGAAAAAAGCCCAGTTCGGTGAGGCCGCATATTTGTGTGACATCGGCGTCAAGGAGTTGAAATAAAAGTTTTGTGTAGATTTAAAATTTGCCTGGATTAATATTTTAGTGTTTAATTGCATGTAGCTATTAAAAGATATCAAATTGTCACATATGATATAAGACATGATATTATTTATTTTCAGAAAAATTCAAAAAAATATTTAGAAAATCTCTACAATTAGCAAGTAATTTACATAGCAGAGCCAGAGAATAAACTTAAATAATTATAAAATAATTAGCATTCTGTTCTGCCTTGGGACAAATTTAGAAATGAAATATATATGTACTGTGTAAAATGAAATGACAGGCTAAACATTTGTAAAGTGCATATTAGTCATGTTTTCCTTCTAAATTTGACAGCCAGCTAGGGAGTCTCTATTTCCCTACAGAGATCTAGTAATTGACATCATAAGCTTGTTAGACATAGCATGTCATTTTATGATTTTGTACCTTGAGCCATTTGCCTCTTCCTAAACTGACTTTTTTCACTTGACTAATTCAGATAAAACATATGCGACACCAAGTAAATCAGGTGCGGTAGGGGGACTGGAAAGTAAACACTTATAGATATCCACTACGAGTGGACTATTTTCTGATCTTCTAATCCATGTCTACCAACCAAAAAAATTGAACATCTGTCAATTTTTAATACTGTGTTGCTGAATGATTTTTCAGAGGGGTGCTGATTTCAAAATAATTGAGTACTCAAGTAACATGGAAGACATCCCAACTGCATTGCAACTACTCTTATGCTGGGGGATATGACCTGGAAAAGTGCAGTACCATGTTGTATGCACATACCAGGTCACAACTTGCCACTGGCCTATATTGCTTATGCAGTGCAAAGACACCCTGCCAAATGCAATGTGGCTCACTCATAATTAGTATATGGTAGATGGAACTGAGTGCCAATCACCCCCTTTAAAGCTGAACAATACTCCGCCCATACTTACCTCTGCTCCAGTGATGCAATCTCAATGAAATCCCTTGCTAGTGCTTCCATCTCACTGATTTGCTCTAGGTTAATGGTCTACAGACAGCTTGATTGTCCAGAGCACAATTACATAACTCCTGTGTGTGGATTCCTGAGCAGACATAGAATATCCCTTCTATAATGAAAAAGTTCAGCTTTAAACAATCATGTGTTTTGTGTGTCTAATTGAATGTCCTATAATGAGCCTAACCTAATTATCAGTCAGCGCAGCCACTACGTGATCACCAAATATATAAACATAAGATTGCATATGAATCAATAATTAAACACAAGATTGCTGCATGCACCATAAAGTGGTTTCATTCTATTCTTATAATGCAGCAAAATATGTTGCACAACCCACAAACCTTCACCATAAAATGAAAATAAAGTCCAAAACATAAATTCCAAAGTAGTAAGATCTTGCACCAAATTATCCACATTTGCCAATGTCTCTGTGCACCAATATATTCTATAAATGATCACCAGTGCTATTCATGCATACACCTCCCATGAACAATATATGTTCACCTCCAGACTAGACCCTGATGGTTAGTCATGGTTCACATGCATTTGTGCCCCCTTCATGGGCTGCAAACAGGATGGCTTTAGATTCACTCCACTACAGATGGCTCCCACTGTTCCATGGATCCTCTGCTCACATAAGAAGAGTTATTTCATCCATGAAAGACGAGTAGGGGCTGATAGTGCTCTCTGTACAGTAAAAATATTTATTCAGTATTTAAAATTACACTCACAAGTCAGTGCAAACACAATGCTATGTACAGCACATATCAAACACAAACAACTCTGTCTCTCCACCTCCACCGACGACATCAAAATGGCAGCAGGTGAGCATATATTATTCATGGAAGGTGTATGCATCAGTAGCATCGGTGATCAATTATAGAAGATATTGGTGCACGGAGACATTGGGACACATGGATAATTTGTTGGTACACGTGGATAATTTGGTGGAAGATCTTACTACTTTGGACTTACTGTTTTGGACTTTATTATTTTATAATGAAGGTTTGTGCAGCATCTTTTGCTGCATTATATAATGAGCCTAATTTATCATTGTATTCATGGCCAAATGAAGGCCAACTAATGCCCTAAACACAGCCAAACAGCAGACCTCCCTCTACCTTTTCCTCTCTTACCTGACAAGACATTAAGGGACATATTTTTATAGTAGTGAATATAATATTCACTAAACATTCACAACTGAAACGTCCTGGTGCATGAGTTTCAAA